GGCAATCTCTTAGTTAATTTCATTCTGGCACTTCATCGCATCCCTTTGTTGTTTGAAATTATTTGAATACTACCAGAACCTAAGTACTACAATATTTACTGGATGAACTATTAGCAAAAGTCGTAGGAAATGTACAGTGCAATTCTTTCTTGTGAAGAAGTCTCTTTTATAAGCATTGCTAATTGGCAGATAATTTGATGCACTATTCATCGGGTGTTTTGTTGACTAAAATTTTAGAATGGTTCTTTCAAACTGGATGTCGATGTTTGAAAAGCGTCTTTATTAGAATTGAATGCCTTAAGTTGAAGTACACCTCAATGTAACTTCTCTTGAAGTGTCATAAACTTTATATGCACCGCTCATTATTTATCCATAACAAATGGCAGTCGTTTTGATAGTTATTATTAGCCATTTAGTTGACTTCGAGCTTCACAGAGGGGAGGTACATCAAAGTGAAAAAAGTGGAGAGGGGGAACATAAGAGTGATTCGAAGATGTAAAAGAGACAGACAGACATAAAGGCAGAGAAAAAAGAGAGGTGAATACTCTGAAAGTGGTAGAATATGACATACAGTGGGGTCATTGTAGTTTGAAGTCAGTATTCAACTGCCGGTTAATGGACTTTATTGCCGTATGAGTATACGTTTCCCAGGGTACGCCATGTGGAGGTAAGTCTATTGCACACCCTGTACCGCTCTTTATAAGTTCGGCTAAGGCAGTGGTTTGTAATGCCGGCATTTCTTGGAGAGTTTGTACTTAGTTGACCAAAAAAACAAGAGATATGGCTTAGCAATTCAGCTCAAGTTTAATTAACTTACTTCTGAGAGATGATTTTGTGGATGTTTGTTTAAGAGAAATTGTATATAAGCCGAAATTAGAGGGAAGCTGAAAATTTGGATGACCTCAACAGGGAACAATGGAAAAGGAGAGAAAACCGAATCACAAGCTTTGTTCAGCTGTGGAGGATGTTGCGTCAATCCTCAGTACGCGCAAGATAGGAGGAAATCCACACAGATGACAACCAAAGCTACATTATCTAGCACAAAAAACCGAATTATAACACTTAGTTATGTGTGTAACTGGCATACACGGTGTTATTGCTTAGAAGACCGAATGGGGCCACATATGATTCCCGGCTTTAATTTAGGGGGAGTTGATTGCTGTGAAATGTATATCATTAATTATCAACAGAACATATAATAAATCCAATCAAGGAGTTGTCATGAGCTGGGAAGTGTGGTAATTGCACATTCAGTTACGCAAAATAGGCACCACTGATATACTTAGATCAATGTCCATTTCAAATGTTGGAAAAGGTAAAGCCAATTTTCAATTTCTTCATTTACTCATCAAGCTGGGATAACTAGAAAACAGAAAGTAAGACAATGAATTGGTGCAATATTTACTAAAAGACATCGGAATACTGATTACCCATGTTTACCCTCTCGAAGTGTTCATATTGACACTGAAGTTGTACAACGTGGCGAAATATCTTTTGTTATTCGTCCAATCAGAAGTAGGTAGCTATAGAAACTATAAGAGTCCTGAATAATGGGTTATCTGAACCACTGTCATTTGATGGAATGCCACCATTTGATGTCAATAAAGCAATAAGCCAATTCGCTTACTTTTCGATATTTAACAATCTTTCTAGTTATGTAGACGATTCAGAGTATTCAAATGTACTATGGAAATTTAATGATAAATTCACTGAACTAATACTCTGACTTTGAGTATATATTCAGGACCGGAGAAATTTATCCGGATATTTAGGTTAGGTACTAAACACAACTGAGAGAGAGATTGAGCCGCGCTCATAGTTAATAAAATGTAACTCCACTAGTTTATTAAAACCGGAAGAATGTAGCCTTTAATCTTAATTTCTTTTGATTGGTTATTCAAAATATTAAATTAAATTAAGGCTTCAATAGTAAACTTTGGTGTTTGGTATTTGAGCTTGGCAAGGCTTAATTTATCCAACAGCCGAATTTTCGAAATGATAAGAACGGAGTTTGAAACGAGAGCACCCATTGCCTAAGTACTATATGTAAAATGTACTTTTAAGCAATCTATCGATTGTTCAGCACTAGAAAATCAAGTACCGTTTGCAATCGTATTTAGAAGAGTTGATTAATTTGGGGTCATAAAATTGTTTCGGCTGTTACTAAAACCTTTCAATAGCAATAAAAATAATATAGGCTCAAATGATTTAAGTAGGCGCAATTTGACTCATATAAACCCTTTGGAAAGTTGAAGTTTTGTTAAAAACTTTTTCTTCCATTTTTTTCATCAAATTTTATATCTGAAATTCAAAGTTACAACTGTGCTTTGGGGGCATGTATGAGTCATTCACGCAGAGATGAACTAAACAGAATGTAATTTGTCCTATCAGTCTCGAAATATGGCAAAGCACCTAAATCTGGCAACTGCAAAATAACTATCAGGACCGTATTCGCAGAGATGGGAGAGGTGTTTGAGGGCGCTGGGATGAGCCAACTCACTTTCTTCAACCTCAATAAACTAATGTGGTAGGTCAAATAAGTGTTAATGTATGGGTAGCGTAAGGGAACCAACTGAGGACCAACACATGCAACCGAGCACACAAGGTTCTGTCGCTGAGAGTGATTTCGTTATCAATGGAAAGTCTTCTGCATCAAGTCGTTTTTCCCTAGTTAGGAACCACTGTAGGCAAAACAGTACTTTTTGATGGAAGATTTGCTGAATTACTGGTTGAAATTGAATTCTTTAGGGACAATGATATTAATTCTTACAGTTGTTGGTTGATTCATTATTCTGAAAAGCATTATCCTCTGAATAACAAGCATAAACTGCATTTGAAAATGAAGGTCAGTAGGAATTTTGAGAAATTTGATCACGTTTACGTCACACATTTAGAAGAGATTAGTGGACGGACATCTTATTTCCACCTCCAGCCAATTCAGTGACTCTGAATGACCAGGAAGAAAGTAGTGAATATAGAATATCAACATAATGAACGATTAATAGTTCCCACCATGTTAAGGGGAACATTTGACAATTCATTTATGCACCCCTTTCTCGATCCCATGGCGAATATTCATTCTTAAATCTTCGTTGTTCTATTGAAAACGGCATTTTTCAGGGATATATTTGCGACACTAAACACAATATACCAGTTGGACTTCCATTAACCTTAGTTACATTGTAGTCATGAGGCATAACGATACATTTCCGGACATATCGATTATTTAACTTTATTAAATTTTAATATCTTTACTTTCAGTTTCTTTAGAGAACTTATAGTAGAGGTAACTTTGTTAAACATGGGGTGCTGGATAGACTTACCTCCTCGTGGCGCTCCCTGGGCAACGTATAATAATACGGCAAAGAAGTCTATTAACCGGCAGTTGACTTTTCACTTCAAACAACCATCACCCCCTACACAGTACTCATCTTACCCTTTCTGAGCCTTTGTCTCTTTTACATCTGTAAATCACTCTTGTATTCCCCCTCCCGAATTCTTCTCATTTTAATGTTTCTCCTCCCCTCTGTGAAGCTTGAAGTCAACTAAATAGCTAATGATAACTATCAAAACGCCTGCCATTTTTTATAAATAAATAAATAAACTTTGTTAAACATTCATGCGAAGTGCGAATTACACGATAAACCTCATATTATGAATGGTACATTCTTTTTGACAGTCGGTATTGGAAACTAATACAGTTATTTGGGAGTACATGCATCAGAAGCAGAGTATTTCCAAGGGCTGTCCTATTCTCATTTATACCAATCGTTCCTACAAAACGACAAGAAGAAGGTGACGAGGTTTTAGATGTGTTCTATGTTTCCATTCTTTCCTACATGGTGAAATAAAGTAGTTCTTAGAAAAACATAAGCTGCTAAACACCTCATTAAATAATATTTTTAACAATTAGGCCAGTAACAAGTAGGCCAGAAAACTGCATTTGGTACCATGCCATTTCAAGGACTAAAATATTCCATATTTCTTCAACAGGGTAGGTTGTTCAATGACCTTAAGTCCACCAAGTGAAAACTTTCAGTCTTTCAAGATTATCAAAATTTATTGCTAAAACTCAATAGATATCCTAAGGCAAAAATTGAAATGTCACAAATACTGAATACTCTGGTAATAGAACGACCTTAAGGGACTAAATTTCAAATGTTCGATGGGTCACGGGAATTAAAAACCCGTTTCATTTATTGCAAATTTAGTGTGGCTAAAACAAATCGAAAGTCGTTAATAATTAGGTTGTGACGACTGTACAGCAATGCCCACAACTCAACTATCTCGAAATTTCTTTGCAGTTTTACACTGTAAGGGTTGGAAGAAAGAATAAATTAATCAACTTAAATAAATCTCATAGAATAAAGATTCAATATTCATTTAGGTCAAAACTAAAGAAGGGATTTTCATTAATCATTTTAGCCATTTGCTGTCCATTATCATTAGATGGGAAAATGTTATCTTCTAATTTAGTCATACGGGTAACTAGATAGCTTAAATTAAAGCGCAAATGATAACACGTAATCGATTTTTTCCTAATAATTAATAATTTTTATTTATCATATTCCATAAAATGTGTGTTCAGCAAAGCATAAAGGTTTATAAAAAAATCTCACTTAATTTTACGGATTTATTAAAGGAACTAATTTATTGAGCAATTACTCTTGTCAAAAGTACTTCGCGAAATACTTTATGGTTTTTAAAATTAAAGTAATTCTTTAAAGTATCATAGAATTTAGTCTCCGTATATCATTTTGATATCATTTGAATAATGACTGAGATTTATTTAAATGAAGTATTTAAATGGAGTTTTTAAGGCCGTCACATGTATAAATATTGCTATAAGTTGAAATCGTCAGTAAATTCCAATAGTGATGTCGATACCTATTTGGGGAGTTGTATGTGTTTTTGGTGGTTTTCTATACCACTTGGCTCTTGGCTATTTTTACACCGTGGGTAAGCTCTCACTTAAGTCAGCATTATTTATTATAGGTAATATGAATCCCTATGTTCAGGAATATATGAATATTACTTCTGGTCAAACAACTTGGTTTTCCTCAACAATCCTAGCCTTTCAAGCCATTTTTATGCCTCTTGGAGGACTTATTGCTTCAAGAATTAACTATAGATGGGTTTTACTTGCTGGATTACTTTTTAGCTCGTAATTATATTTTCATTTTATGGTCTATACGATAACTTTAAAATATGATTTTTCTACTTATTTTTCATTACAGAGGTGGCATTTTGTTGACAAGTTTGACTGTCAAATACGGTATTGGTCCGTACATTGCATCCTATTGTGCTTGCTTCGGTATTGGTATGGGTCTTCCTTATTCACTCATCTTTTCAATTGCATCATCGGTAGGTTTTAAAGTTTTTGAAGATATTGTAACCATTTACTATATTAAGTAATGATTTGTACGTCTCAGTGGTTTCCTGACAGTCGAGCAACAGTTGTTGGTATTGTTGCGGCAGGGTTCGGACTCGGAGCTTTGGTTTTCACACCAATCCAAACACGTTTAATTTATCCTAAAAATTTGGATAAAATTCCTAAAGCATTTTTGATTCTTGGAGGCATCGTTTTGGGACTGGAAATAGTTGCAATGGTTCTTCTTAGGGAGAAACCTCAGGTAAATGTTGCCGTATAAAAATGTTAGCCGATATAATACTTAATTATAAGCTCATTTTTTTCAAATCAGGATAAAAATGTTGAACTTCTAAGCGCAAAGTAAGTGATCCGCGAAGATTTTTTTAAATTCGTTTTTTCCGCCAACTTAGCAACTGTCTAACATTTGTAGTGATGGAGATACGTCAGTGGAACAGGTTAGGAGTGAAAAGGACGAGAGGTGCGCATTTTACCATTTAATGGACTGTCAATTTTTTTCGTTATATTCATTGTTTTTCCTAGTAGAAGCGCTAAAAATGGACCCAAAAGCTATACAATCATGCAAGCCCTAAGATCAATCGATTTCTACATCCTCTGGTTCATAGTTTTCTTGGATATCATTCCTGTTGTGCTTCTAACATCTACGTACAAGGTAGCTTTCAGCCTTCCCTTAACCGGCTCAAATTGTCTATATTTCTTCTAGATATTTGGCTTCGATCTTAATTTCCCAGATGAGTTCTTATCGCCGATAGCTACCACTAGTGCAGCATTTAATTGTCTTGGTCGAGTGTTCTGGGGTTTCATGGTGGACAAATTCTCCTCAAAAGTCAGTTCTTTACTAATACTTTATTCATTTCATTTTCTATTGAACTCTTAATACATGGCAGTATAAATATTTCAGTGTCCAATGATGACTTTCCTGTCCATTTGGGCTGCTGTTTTCATTACCTTTCCTTTTGTTGGAGCCGGATCAAAAGCGTCTGGACAGCCTCTGTATGCCATCTGGGTCTTTCTTCTCTTCTTTGCCCTCTCTGCTCATTTCGTCGTTGTACCAGCTACATGCAATCGTATTTTTGGTCCCCAAAATATGGCAACTATCTATGGAATCATATACTTCGCTACTGTGAGTTTAAATGTGCACGATTGCGTATCATTTATTGAAAATTTTATTTAAGTACCCCATAGGTCCATATGTGTTCAAACCTGTTTATATAAAACCCAATGTTGTCATTAGCTTATGAAAAATTCGCATGGTTGGTCGAAATAAAACGCGATTTTGCTTACCAATGGCGTCTTTAATGCGCTGATTCATCGATGAATATTGATTGGTTGTGAATGCTTTATTCTGCGACCAATTGGAACTTGCAATGAGTCATTACATTTACCTAAGGGCAAAAAGTAATAGTAGCCACGTGGTTGGACGAGAGATTTATTCCCGCATAAATGAATAAATTTTTTATTTGAAAATGCTTTTGTATTTCGTTTACACAGTCGCAGCAACGTATTTATGTTTCTATGCTTAAAACTCCCAACTCACAAGTTTTGAGACAATTCTCCCTTTCTTAATTAACTAAAAGAAAGCCCACCTGCATTCAGGCTTTCTTAAACTGCCAAACCCTAATCTCACTACTCTTGAGGTTCTACTTTTTGGAACTGTCGCTAATCCCTAATTATCAGCCTTAACCTCCATAAATTTATGATCTTAATTCTCATTACCCCAAAGTAGTAATCTAGGTAAAAAGGGGTGGTTGCTCCTTTGGTTTAAAAAATGAATGAAAGAGATCTTGCCCAAAAGTGTGCAAGATTCAGGACTCCATTAATCCAATTTTCAACATTTTGTCTTTTAATCATATGTCGTTTAATCATTTTTCAAAAGTTTAGACTGTTGGCTGTTTCCTATTTTCCTGAACAAAATTCCTTCTGATTCCATGTTTAGATCTAGTCGATCGGACAATCGATATTGAAGGTTGACAAGCTACTTAGATTGCAAAAAAATATATGATTCAATTAAATAATACATTTTATAAAATTGTACTTAACCAAATTTCATTACCGCACATAACTTATAGCGTTTTTTTTAACAGTACCAGTTAATTTGTGGTTTGATGGTGCTTTGTGTATGACAAGCAGGACTATCAGTAGATAGCTTCTATTTAACCCGAAAAATTTTGCTCAAACTCTCCCCTTTTGAGTCGCCCTAAGTTGTGCCAGCTTTAAGAACTTAATAAAAGTAAGGAATTATCGTAGTTTCAGGCTTTACTTAAAGGTTATTTAGCAAATTATTTAAATAATCGGCAGTATGTTATTAATTAAATTTTCCTAAATAAAAATTGCCCATTTATATCCAGTAGATTCTCTACTATATCGTCATCCTTTTCACTAAAACATCGTCCGGCATCTTTGAGCACATAATTCATTTAAACTTTATTTGTTTTAACATTTAAGATCTCTACTTAATTTAAACAAATATTTTGCTACTTTTCCGTATTGAGCATCGCGAAGACCCTTTCTATAACATTTCTATTCTGAGAAGCTCTTAAGCTATCATCATTAGCAAACATACATAGGAAAACTGTGTATCATAGAGGAGTGCGAATTTACCTGAACAATAGCGCACTTTTAATTGGTAATTAATATGATAAAAATTCTTGCTTTAGACACCCAGTGCACTGGCTACCGCAGCAATTGTCTCATCGTTCAAACTAAAGGGTCATTGGGTCGAGGTCTACACGTCTTGTGGCGTTGTTTGTATTGTCGGCAAGTTCATTGATCACTGTGATTCATGCAGTCACGTTTATTTTAACTCTCTGGGTTTTTTTCACTTTCTTGCAGCTCTAACCTTGTCACTCTTCTTGCGTGACAAAGACGCCAAGTGTGTTGGATGTACCAATAGCATCTGTGCCAGTGCTTGCAATTCCTGTCGAAAGGGTCTAGATGCAGAAAGTCGGCGTGATGTTGTAGACTCCGAAGATGCCTCAGCAGCACCGTGGACTAATTGACGTCATGCGAATCTTCCTCCTCTCAATTTGAATTAGCGTTGCATTCTTTGTGCATTAATTACTTTAACTTCATTTTTGTTTTATCTTGCATCAAAAGAAAGATAGGCACATCAAATTGAACATATCAGATATAGTATTCGAGTTTTAAACTATTTTGTTTGGATTACTTTCTAGCGCTTGTGTCCATAAGTGCGATTAATTAGTATTTAAAATAACCGAAAATGCCCGAGAATGGAATGAACTGTGTGAAGGTCCCATTAATGGGTAACCAAATCTCAATAAAGAACGTGATTCTCAGCATCCATTCTGGGTCCATTGAGAGTGGCATTCTTGAGCCATACTGGAGAAAAAGATCATTTTGTGTAATCACTCTGGGCGTTAGCAAAACCGAGAAATAGTAAGTTAATGACTTACGACTTAACGAACGTACGCTGGTGGTGCGTCTATTTATAAGTTCTGGTGGGAACACAACTGGAGGAAAAGTTTTGCGATGCACTTTAATGGTGGACTGAGGGGATGAAGGTCAGCGTCTATATGAGCCATTTTCAAACATGCCTGTCCAGTACACATTCCACGCGCCTTTATCGCAATTTTCGACAACTTGTTCCATGGGGATGCACGAAGAAAAGGTTTCCGTAATCATTAAAAGCTGAGAAAATTGATGGGAAATTTTATCGGTAGTTAAAGTTATTTAAGTTACTACTTTTACGCGTGTCTCACAGCAACCTGATGCCACTGGACGTGATGAGTTTTGGTGGTGTATCAGGCGAAGGCTATAGACGCGTATTGAACATGCTTCAACGTCAATAGCGCCTTCTGCTACGAGTTTGGTAGCAATGGAGATTATTTTGAAAGAGGACCGTGTGGTACTTTGGACGTTAAAGGGTTAAACTATTTGTTTATGATTTTCACTCTTGTCCGCCTTATGGAGGCTAAAATTATTGAAAGTTAATTCAATGATGAATTTCACCAAGGTCTGGAAATCTACTTCCATGTTTTGGTGAAGTGACCCTTATTACAAGTAAGCGGTCACGCCAGCGATAGCCTCAGTTGTTACAATCTTATCCAAATCGGAATCAGGTAAGGATTCCTCTTTGATGAGCCCTGTCAGCTCTTTAATTTTTTAGAACGAGATTATATAGGGCGGTTTGATCACAACGGTGTTATTTTAAATCCCACTGCCAATAATAAAGTTTCTTGAGCACTAATCATGACTACTTTTTGCACCTGCCATCCTTTCACCAAATTTGAAGCATCGGTCACTGACTTGGAGAAAGCTTGGATTAGCTATTACTTCCACAAACTCCCACAATTTCCGTTGACCATAAAATGCTTTACCATAAGTGCATACACTTTACATAAAGGGAAATAGTGAGGTGATTTCCAATCAACCCCACCATAGAAGGTTCAGTCAAGGAACGAAACTATAACCTTTCATGGGAAATTTCAATTATATAAAATTCTTTGCCTCTAGATTAGCACTTCAGATCTGCATCGAAAGATACAAAAAATAGCAAATCATCCATTCTTATTTGCTTTATTTTTAAGGCACTAATCGCGATCAAGACTAATCACCAAGACAAAGGAACTGAATTCTCACCGTTTTCTTAATTGGCTTTATTCTTTGTTACTATCCTATTTCTAATATGTTTGTAAACAATATGAACTTAAAAAAACAAAACCTTCAAATGAAGACTTTGAAGTTTCGTCTTGGAAACCGTTTGACCTTTTGAATCAAATTCAAGTCACGAAAATATACGCGTGAAACTATTGGAAATGCACGGAAATTTCGAAAAATTCCTAATCACAATTAACACTAAATTTACCTGACAAATGTCAATTGTTGCATTATTTTTTCTCACTTTCAAAAAACCGAATTTCTGGGCTACCTGCCGCGAGTTTGTGCTATCATTACTTAATATTTGTAATTAATAGGAGGAACCTAAGAAATTGAGAGTTAGATATTCACTTCACCTACTAAACAACTTTGGTCATTTTGTAGCAGATTGCAGCCAGAGCCAAAGATAGATAGTTATCAATGTTATGTCAGATCAGTTGAGAAAGGAGTGAAATAGTAATCTTGAAAATTGAGAACTCCAGTTACTGTGAATATCTTTTAATTTGTTGTGTCCCTGGGGGGGGGGGTTGAATAGATTCTTTGTAGTGACTACTGAATGATGAATTCCCTTAATCGGTATTTTAAAGAATTAAAAACTGCACTACATTTTATCTCTTCGGTTAGAACTTTCTAAAATTCAAGTATGGTTCATTTGGAGTCAACAGAAAAAATCTCCAAAAGTACCACCGCCAAACCCCACCCCACCCAATCATCATCTTTAGCGTATTATTTGACATAGCACTAATTTTAAAACGATTGGCATGTTAAAGGGGTGTGGTAGGGAGTTTCGTTGTTCGCCTCTTTTGAAAACTCGATTGAATCAAATCTAAGGATTAAATATCAATTAATGCGATTGAGTAGGGTGACTCACGATATTTTTATCTAACAAATAATGGCAAGCATAGTGATGTTCCAAACCCAATATGAAAAGACCTTGCAGCAATTGAGTACGGTAAATAGTCCATATCATAGCTCGCCTCCTAAGAGAAATTCTTATTATACGATCCCTATCGTACACCAGAATTACCTAGTGGGGTTGGAAATAGGTATCACTCGAAACTTCAAACAGAAGATTGGGCCTCTGACCTCTGGGATGTCGGACAAATTTATTAACTTCCGCTCCGACACTAACAATATTTATTTATTTATTTCAAATGACAGGCGTTTTGATAGCTATCATTAGCCCTTTAATTGACTTCGGGCTTCACAGAGGGAAGGTTCATCAAAGTAGCAGAAAGTCGAGGGGTGAGTAACAGAAGAGCGATTCACAGATGTAAAAGAGACAGACAGACACAAAGGCAGAGAAAAAGGTAAGATGAGTACTGTGGAAGCGGTCGAATATGACAAGCAGTAGCGCCATGGTATTTTGAAGTCAGAAGTCGACTGCCTGTTAATAAACTTTTTTGCCGTATGAGTATACGTTGCCCAGGGTGCACCACGTGGAGGTAAGTCTATCGCACACCCCACACTAACAATATAATCATATGTTTATTTTACTATTTGGATAGAATCTTATTTATGTAGTCACTCGAATGGAATCTGTAGATCCATCAATGCTTCGCACACAATTTTGGGAGCCGAATTCGCCTCCCAAGCAATGCGTTTTGGATTATATTTCACTACTCCTTGTTTCCAAGATTGAAATATCTGCATTCTTAGCCAACTGAATAGCCATTTGTTTCCGCATTTTCGGGCCCTTTTAATTAGTTCTACATTCCTAGTACGTTTGGATGTCCTTTGCTAGGCTGAGACATTCTAGTCATTGGTGATGGTTATCATGAATGTTTATTCGCCTGTTCGCAATCTACTCTTGAATCATTTCTCCGACCTAAATGCCAGCAAAATAATATTTACCTGCCAGATAAGACATTTACAAAAAACGTCAAATTCCGGTCTGTGTTCACAAATTGTACCCATGGGAATCACTTAAAATTGATTCACAGCTAATTTAAATGAATTTTAGAGGATATTTTCTTAATTGTTAACACGACCCCCTTAACTAACAGTCATCGTTAAAATGGTTTTTGTCAATTCCTCAGAGTCATTCCAGATAGCAATGTGTCGTAGATCATAGCTAGAGTTTTGCTTTCGATTCACGCCATGAAATTTTTCTCTAATGTCATGTTTTCATTAGGGCGTTTCTAACGTTATGTGTCTGCAATAATTATACTCATAATTTCATCTCCAAAAGCTTTGCATAAAAAGTGCGACGCGTATACGAGATTGGTCGTCATTATTACTAACTTAGTTTCTAATTTCATTATATTTAAAAATAGGAGTTCCATCAGGATAAAGGTGGTGTCCGTTATTGAAATAAGGAAAGAGGGGAGGGGTACCGTGTCTTCGCATTTTTATATTAAGTACTCCATTCAAATAATAGATTATATTTTATTATATTATTTTACTTTGGGCAAAGACAAACAGACAAAGTCCCAAAAAGTCGAGAGGGGGGACAGAATAATGATTCACAGATATGAAAGAGACAGACAGACATAAAGGCAGAGAAAAGGTAGGATGCGTATTGTGAAAGGGGTAGAATATGACATGTAGTGGGGTCAAGGTAGTTTGAAGCCAGAAGTCAACTACCGGTTTATAGACTTTTTGCCGTATGAGAAAACGTTGCCCAGGGTGCACCACATGGAGGTAAGTCTATCGCGCAAAGCATAGGAGATTATGCAATTTCATATAATTTCGGAAATGAACATATCTCACTATGATTTAAGGTTTGGTGACGGTTGTAATGCTGATGATGATGATGGCGACGACAATCCTTGTTGCTTATATGAACAAAAACACTCTTAAGACTTAAATTTTTTATATTTCTTGCAAAAAAATTTCCATAAAATTAACATTAAGACATTTTCTTGCTCCGTATCTATTTAGCCACTAAAAAAATGCATTTGCATTGAAATTTCGTGCCGTTAACATTTTACGTCATTTTTACCCAATTTACTTTCAGGCCCCTACGAAAGTGGTGGGGGGGGGGGGGGGGGGGGGGGTGCAGATTTCATAGAAGTCAAAGCGGGGATGTTGAACCATGCCTTTAACATCGCTAGAATGTACTGGCTCAGAATCCCAGGGATCAACAGCGTAAATTGCACATTTTCAAGAGCATCAGTTGTGAATGCTACCTTTTCGTGCCTGCAGCAACTTCAGGTTATTGGCTGAGAAGTGACAATAAACTTGTATTTGGAATCACTTCCATCCTAATTTTCGGACACTTATCCATTTATGCGCAATTTGGTTAAAATGCGCACAACACTTGCATTTAAAAGGAGATAATTATAAAGAGCGATGTTGACTCTACTCCAATCGGCTTGTCAGTCGAGGTGAGAAGGCGGATGTGCGCATATTTTGCAATTTTGTTGTAAATCCATCAAAA